GATGAAATTCCAGCAAGTGCTTTATGCTGCAGAGTTTGAGGACTAAAGAGATCTTTATAAAAAACGGTATGGTTGCTGGTGTTGCTTGTTCTGGTTTATCAAAAGCTTTTAACCTGTAAATAGATTTGTTTTAATTATTTGACTTTTTTAGTATTTATTTTTTGATCACCACTTACCACTTTCATTTTTAAATTGTAATTTCAGCCATTAAAGCACTTCGGACTTAAAATCGGCAAAACACGTGAGCACTTGTTAACTTGGTTATACTCTGTGATGAAAAATGTACATTTGTTTGGAGCTCTGCTCGTCAGGGTTGCCTGCATCTTTCAAATGATATGTGTAGATTAGACAGCGCTCTCTGACTGTACATGAATGTCTCTGCTTTATCTTTCTGAAAAGAGTCATAGCGACATATATGTATATTTTTTATACAAATAAATATTTTATTGCTCTGGAGAAAAATGTTTTTCCCTCCTGTTATTTGTGCTTGTCTATAGATTTAAAATGGGCACTGTATAATCAAGTAGTTGCTGCTACAAATGTGTACATCAATTTCCCCCAAAAATATTTCTACAAATCTTTACCTGCTAGTATTTTAACTTAGATGCAAAGTCATCTATGTATACACACACACACACACACACACACACACATTCATATGAGCGGTATATGGAGCTGATGTGTGGGTGGGGTGTGTGTGTGTATGAGTACAAGTCAGTTCCCCAGTTTCTCTCACGTCTCCCCCCTCCTCCCTGTATATCCCTGTCCCTTCCCCCTCTCCCTGGCTTCCTGCTCTCCTGCCATTGGGTGCTGTGTGGGGTGATGGTTTCTGTCGGTGATGTCTCCACAGCGTGTACCGGCTTCAGAACTATAGAGGCTTATTTTGACAGCCTTGCAGGACCAATTAGATTAGATAGATAGATAGATACATACATGGATATATAGATAGACACATGGATAGATAGATATATGGATACATAGACAGATAAATGTGTCTGGAAAGAACATGTAAAATAATATACTGAGAAGACTGTTCATCTCTATGGAAGTAAGCTGAAGTCTCTATCATGGGACACCTAGGAGACGCTGGATGCTGCATGTAGCTGAAACACCTGACACCCTGAAGCTTGGACTGCATTCTGCCAGGAAGTGGAGGAATCAAGCCCATTATGAACAGTTTCCACACTGTCATTCCTTCTGACTTTGTATACTGGACCAGAGCATAGACTTGAGTGCTAACAAGCTACAGAAAAAGGATCAACTCTCTGCGTTTTACTGCATGAGGTGAGATGCAACAATCGCATGATAACATACTGTACATGTTCATGAGGGAGGATGTTGTTATGATAATATAGGTTTTTCCACTATTCATATTTTCTGCTTTTATAGTACTATATTCTTACTATTTCTTGTTTACCACTAGTATAACCAAATCTATGAATTGATCACAGTGAGCATAGCATCACTTCAGCAGTGCTGCTACTACGATGAAACAGCATCTCTTCCTCTTATTGGTGGATCGAGGTTCCACTGAAGGCTATTTATTTGTTGCTCCGGGTGTCTGTCATTAGAAGGGTGTATTCCTACAGTGGTCATATGATACAAACATACCACCCTAGTGTAGTGTGTTTGTTTAGGTGTGGTTCGGAGATGATGGGAGAGCAGAGACAGAGTGGAGGAAGAAGGAGGATGCAGGGGAGAGATGGAACAATTTGATAAACAGAAAAATAGTCAAGTTTACTTCAATCAAAAGAACTGGCATGCAGCCTGGATGAAAGATACTGACATTTCTATTCCATGTTCCTTTTGCATCAGGATGAACATATGCAATCAATAACATTGTATTTAAATACATCCAAGCACAAATGCTTATTCATAGTTGTTTGTTGTCATGATTGTGCAATCTTTACATGTAACACTTTAGGTAGAGAAAAACAGGCATGACTTATGAACAGCCTCAAAAAGAACAGGAAAACAAACCTGTAGGAGAGCTAAAAGATTGATAGGCTCGCACATTTTATGAGAAAGTGACTCTTGTTAAATGAACAGGACGCAAACAGGTGTCAAAGTAAAAGAAAATTCAAGTGAAACATTAAGTAGAAAGAAATCAGCAGATATAAAGATACAGATCTAGTGCCTGTGAGGAATACAATTATTTAGATATACAGACAAAGAAACACAATACAATAAATAAGATGGACATCCAGGAAGCAGATGTTTAAACTAAGAATTATCTTGTGAATGCTGCCTTTCAGAGAATTAACAGGCAGTATGCACTCAGCTAAGAGGTGTACGGATCAGCAAGAAACCGGCGGTCATATGATCCCTGGTCAGCCCTCAGCTATTAAAGAGAGAGAGAGAGAGAGAGAGGAGGAAGAGAGTATGTTGAACAGGGAATGAGAAAGCAGAACAAGAGGAAACAACAAGAGCAACAGTTTTTCTTGCTGTGTTGTAATGGAGATAAAATAGGCCAGTTGAAGCATTTGGAGGCTTTTACATTATGGTGAGGTGGAGTCCCACTGGATGCATTCATCATAAACCACTCAAAGAAAAGGTAAAACGCGCTTTAATTCTATGTTATATTCTGTAATGTCAACTTGGTGGTGTCTGCACTAATAAAGAAATCAAGAATGTATCCGAGTTTAACGGACTTATTCTGTAGTGTGGGTTTGAATCAGTGAGGAGGATGTTAGGATTATAATGTTTTCTGACAGAGACTATAGACAGCCTTAGCTTTGACACTATATTGCACAAGCTCATTTTGAAGCAACGCAGTAAGAATGAACAGCTGTTTTGTCAAATCCTATTCTTCAATTCTACATCAGGAACCAGGTTTAAAATTCAAATGGTTTGTTGTTTTTCATTTGGGCGTCATGGTAGGCCAGTGGTTGCGTATGTCACAACACCAGATTTTCATTTCCCATTTATCATGGCCAAAAACACAATTCACGATAACAAGGCTGTTGAGATTTCTGTAGAAAATTTAAAAAATGTAAATAAATAATGCAATAACTTTAATTCATCTATAACTTTTTGTATTGACATTTTGTCTCTTTTTTGACAAACTACATTTAGAAAACAAGTGTAAAAAAGGTGAAGAGTCTAACCATAAATTCACAAAGTTTACATTTATTTTCTGCTGGACACAATATTATCATATGTGTACTGCTGTATTATTACATCCTTAATCTCGAAATAGTTTTTATGTTTAGTAATGTTCTCACAGTATGCTTGTTTTGTGTAAAGAAGAGTGGAGCATACAGGAAAAGCAATTGAATTTCGTGTTTGCTGATGCTTGTTTTATCTCCTAGGTTTCAGGGAAAAACCCTAAAATCTTGACAGTGTGGCACCAGCTCAACAGAAAACCGGACCAAAGAGTACCACTGCAGGGCTCAGGGATTTGCTTGATTTACTACAATTCTCTTTGCAACATTGACATTGGCAAGACAGTGGGCGGAGTAGAGCCCGCTCACCATGTACTCGCCTCAGAGTCTCCACCGCTGGGGCATCACTCACAGTGAGAGTATGGAGCGGTTAGCCTACAGCCAAGGTAGGTTGGCAAGTATTTTGTATATGAATAACTTCATCAATTATACAACTCCTGTCAAGACTTAAAGGTCACCTATTATGCAAAATCCACTTTTTCATGTCTTTTATACATAAACATGTGTCCCCTCTGTGTAAAGAGATTCACTCACTTGTTGTCCTGATCCATTTATATAAAAACCTGTCTGAAAATGAGCTGATCAGATTTTGGCCACTTTATGATGTCATAACGATTTTCTGGCTTGTGTAACCATTAGCCAATAACCAACCAAGGTAACCCCCCCGCACCTTATCACCTGAATCTCCTCCTAGAGCACCATTGTGGTTTTTAAACCAAATATCTCTCAGAGGGGCGTGGGGAGTGGCTCCTTATTTTCATCTAAAGTAACAGACAGAGAATCAGCACTTTTGAAACAGGGCTGAAACAGAGGGGATTATGGGATGCTACAATGCATGATCTGTTTGGTATTTCGATCCAAACACTTCAGATACATTATTTGTATACATCTGAGACCTATAATATATTGATGAAAAACAGTATAATAGGGGACCTTTAATGCCCACCTGTTCTCATACAATGTTCCGTAATGGTATACATCGATACAAATCTCTGGATTTATATCACTGCATTGAAACAAAGCATATATCCTCTCTGCTGTTCACTCCTGTCTAATGTATTACAACAAATCACAAATATAACATTTACATAATTAGCACTCTGACACTAACACCAATAGATAGACAGTCATTTCTCTTATCCATAGGCCTAATGTATTTTTATTTTTTTTTTAAATGAAGAGTGCCTAACATTAAAATAGCATAATCTTAGCTAAAGTATGTGCAGTGAAGTCTAATAAAGAGGTTAAAAATACAATCAGCATTCTTATTATAGAAAAAAACACAATGTCTTTTTTGTCTGCATAATTAATTGAACCAGCCATATCTTACCAAAAATAATTGAATAGGCCTTCATAAAAAAATTACGTCTCAATTTCATTTTGCAAAACGCATATCTCCCATCAAATGGCACATTGCTCTGTATGAATGGGTTGTGAATGGGTGAATGATGAGGTGTGGTAAAGACTGGATAAAGCGCTAGATATATACAGTCCATTTACCATTCCAGTCCCCGGTCATAGAGTGTAGACCGGTACTTTTAGAGGTGCCTGTTGGCCCCCTGGGCACTGCTGAGATTCCCTTGAGCAAGGCATCGGACTCCCATACTTCTACCTAGGCGCTGTATAGTAGCTGACAACTGCTCCTAGCACTTGAATGGGTTAGTCGAAATTTCACTATTCCCAAAATGACAATACTATGTCCTGGAGGTCAATTTTAGGAGGTTATTACGGAAGAGGATTATGGCCACATTTTTCTCAGAGTTCTGAGTTTAAAGTCAGAACTAAAATTATTATTTTTCTTTTGGTCACGTCCCAATGTTTTTTCTCATGTGGCCCTAATCCTCTTCCGTAGACAAGAGTTAATATTGGACTTCATTGTTTTGTTTTTTTACTCGTGTATCTTAAAATAGCTGTTAGGGCCTCCTTGTCTCCAAGCCTTTGTCCCATCTTCCACCTGAAGGCTGCAGCAGTCCCTTCCACCGGCAGCAGGGGGCGACACGTTCACAACACAGCAGCCTGAAATCATTACGTAGTGCTGCTGCTGCCTTTTGTGTGTGTCTTGTGAGCCTGCTGACACCGCCCCTCCGGAGGGTGCAGCGGGACCGTCACACGCCTACTGTCGGTTAGGTCTGTTGGCTGGCTGTAAACAAAACCCTACAGCAGCGCGATGTACGGAATATACCTGTATCCCGGGGAGATAACGGAGCTAACGGTGGTAACCATGTAAACCGCAACCACGGGTTACAGTACTGGAACGTTACGACGGTTGGTGGTTGCCAGAACTGTCAGTGCTTTACTCGGTGGTTTTACAGGTATTTTCTTGTGCAATGGTTGTCATAATGGTCACCCGGTGATTTGTACATCAAAGCTAGCTTGCTAACCGTGAGCTAACCGTACACATCTGGCTGCTAATTTCGCACCACTAGCTATAATAATTCCAGATAAACGTGAACATGGCAGCAGCAGCAGAGCACGACCTGGCTCTGTCTGAGGCGGACAGCAGCAAGGAGAAGGCTCAGGTGTTTGGGATTTTGAGGCTACAAGAGGAGAAAGCTGGTGTTGTTGGGGATAAAGCTAGCAGCACGGTGAGGGGAGGAGGAGACGGGCGATGGCAGGCTCCTATCTTCGCTTTGGCCAGGAAAGCATCCGAGACCATTTCAGGGAGCATTCACGTCCTGCCCAAAGTGTCGGAGCACAGGACGTCTCTGCCCGGGGACTGGGCCGTCCAAGGTACAGTACAGAGGGGGAAGAAGTACTCAGATCTTGTACTTAAGTAAAAGTAGAAGTATTAGAGTGTAGGAATACTCTTAAGTAAAAGTACAAAGGAATTAGCAACAACATATACTTACCAAAAGTAAAAGGACTCATTATGCAGATTGGTCCATTTCAGAATGATATATGGTTTGATTAGAGTTATTGATCCATTAAAATTGTATCAAGCTGGTAAAGGTGCCGCTAATTTAATAACTTTATATACTGCAGGGTAGCTTGTGAATGTGTGTCCAGGTTTACATAAAGGCTTATTTAAGAGTTGTTAATATTTCGCATTATCAATCCAAATCTGCAATGTAACTAAAGGTATTAAATCAATGTAGTGAAGTAAAAGTACAAAGTAGCACAACATTGAAATACTCAAGTAAAGTACAATTATCTCAAAATTGTACTTAAGTATGGTACTTGAGTTACTTTACACCACTGGTAGAGTATTATCAGCATCCGAGGGTGTGAGGTTAATAATAACAGGTCTGAAGACACCCAGTAAATCATTGTTTAAGGATAATGAAGACAAGTTACTATCTTTATCTTTAACTTATCAGTCCCCCATGAGATGTTCAGACTCACACACTCATTCAGGCAGCTGATAATAGGATCACAGATAATAGTTTCAGTTAGTGCGAGTAGATGTCTCTGTGTGATAAACCGAGCTGTTGCATCCCAACATATCTAACATTACTTCACCAGTGTGTGTCCAATTGATTTTTCGCAGATCAGAGCTGCTCTCATGCTTTGATGGTACAGCCTCCTCTAATAATGTTGGCTGGTTTCTTCCAACACACAATTTAACGGCCTAAAGCATCACATGCTGCACTGATGCAAATAGACTGCACTGTTTTTAATATTTCCTTTAGGGCTATCATCATGATTGGTGCACTGTGTGTTTATTAAGTGTTGTCTGTATGTTTTGCTGCTTTGCATATACCAACATGTCCGTTTAAGCAATGAACCTCATCTGTTGATTATCTACTTGTTTGAATAATTAATCTTATTGTCGAAACAATTTTCAACTCAGTCCAAGACCCAAATATATTCATTCCATCATTTGAACACAAAGCATTCAAAATGGAATCACCAAACGTTTGGTCTTTTTGCTTGACAAGTGAACGACACTAATCAATGGTTAAGCACAATAGCTGCTGGTTTATTTTCTGTTGAGCATCATCTTCTGTCATTTTATCAGAGCTCTGGGCTTTATTTTGTCTCTGTCATTGCGCCTATCAGCCATTGTCTGTCTGTCAGTGGAAGTTTCCACTCCCCACACACTCACTATATTTAGCTTCTTATAGATTTCAGGTCCATCACAGACTTGCATTCTAATTTACTAAAAATCAGCATCATGCATTGAGTGCAACGTGCGTCCTTGTTGATCGTTTTTATTTTTTTATTTGAACAAGAACACATGACACTAATTTAGGAGACAGAACATTTTAATCCCCCATAACTCAACAATTGAAACATTAAGACACTTCTGCGTTGTAGCTATTTATTCCTCAGAGTTTGATGTACTCTACAAGTCACATGGTGTTCACAGGCAAACAGGTTTATTTTTTTCCCTCAGAATCCTCAAGGCTCACCACCAAAGGGCGTCAAGAGTCATGCTGTTCCCAATACATCCTTGGTTGATTGGTTAGCGTCTCTGCCTCCAGGCCAACCTGATGGGGCAATTAAGCTATTTTGCATTGCTAGGCAACTTCTCTGCACTGTTTCACCTGACATTGTTTTGTTCTGGCGTGTTTGGCTACACATTAACCCACGGGTCCACATGTAGAGCCTTTAGTAACATGTTTCCATAGGAGGGGACAGTCTCAGGCTATGGAGGTTTTATATAATGTAAATGCTGCAAACAAGGCAAATATCTAACAAAGCTATATAAAATGTAGGTACTGAGTCTCTACATAAATATCTCTAAGCTTATTAATAATTTTCAAGTTTGGATGAGTTATTATAGATAACTTCGATATATCTGTATTTACCGATGCAGTTGTATGGTCATTTTAAATATTTGAATGACGATTGTTTTGAACTGTCTATAAACAAACTGCTTTGTTTTTTATGTCAAGGCACGGAAAATAAACTAAACATGGTATTCTTAAGGTTATTAAACACAACAAATACTAAAAAAGTATTCGGTATTAATTTCTTACAATCTTGATGGGCGTATTTTAAGCATATTTTAGGTTAAATGTTTGTGTGTGGCTTTTATCCTGCAGCGCTGCGAGACCCCATGGCGATGGAGCGAACCAACCTGCTAAACATGGCCAAGCTGAGCATTAAAGGGCTGATCGAGTCAGCTCTGAGCTTTGGACGGACTCTGGACTCAGACTACCCGCCTCTCCAGCAGTTCTTCGTTGTCATGGAGCACTGCCTCAAACATGGCCTTAGAGGTAAAAGTGGCGTCTCAACTTATTACAATTGCTGCACAGTTGTGTTTGTGTTTCTCTCACTCATAAAATATAGAAATTCCTGTATTTTCATATGCCAGTTTTGTCTCTTTCTCTCTGCAGTGAAGAAGTCCTTTCTGGGCTATAACAAGTCTCTGTGGGGTCCTCTGGAGCTGGTGGAGAAACTTTGTCCTGAAGCAGCAGAGATCTCCGCCTCTGTACGCGACCTGCCTGGACTTAAGTAAGGAGGATAATGATGTACACACACACACTTGTGCTCAAACACAACCTAACCTGACATCCTGCTGGAGAAACATGAGCCACAACACAACCGCACACACAGTAACATGAGAATGTGACGTGAGCCAGAGCAGGGAAATACCTGTGATTTACTTTCACTTCACCTTTCCCGCTCCCTGCAGCCTTACTTCTCCTTCTCTATTCTTTGTTAACATGATATCTCTGTGTAACATCTATGGCAAAAATAGACACATTTTCCGAAGTAATCAGACTCAGTTTTGGTCACCTGTTTAAAAGCAAAATAAGTAATGGGGCAATAGTTTATTTGCATCCAGTGTTGAGCAGATTGTGAAACATTGTTGTTTGTTTTTCAATGTCACTTCCTGCTATGACTATTAAACTTATTTGTAAGTCCTAAGATCTGCAGTCTGAGGGGGGACAGTATGGATTATAAGAACACATAGTAGCCTTTAAAGTGCCCAATATGGGTCGTGGTCAAATGTATACTAACTTAATATTCAAGTTGTGTCCTCTACTGGCTTTGTACTCTCATTCATGCTCATGATTCTGACATCATACTTTGTTAATAATCTATCAGTGCCTACATACCAGAGCTTCCAGACAGGAGACCGAGTGTGTAATATTCAGCAGTCTGATCCAGCACGGAAAGGGAACAGTTGTGTTGTTTTAGTTGAGGACAGAGTGTGTTTCCTCTAGTGGTGCTGAGTCAGACCAACGGACATGTGGCAGAGCGTTTTTTCAACATGTGCAACAGTGAAAACGTTTTTTCTTTCTCTGGAATAATGTGATGCATTAAAAACACAGTTTGGGTGGCTGATATGTCACAGAGTATTAGTATTGTGTAGTAGATCCTGTAACACTTACACATATAATCTTATCACCTCTGTGTTTTTCTGTGTGTTATTACCAGGACTCCATTAGGCAGGGCCAGAGCTTGGCTGCGTCTCGCTCTCATGCAGAAACGGCTGGCCGACTACCTGCGACTCCTCATCACCAGAAAAGACCTGCTCAGGTACACACACATCATGTTCACATAGCAATAGGGGAATTACACTTGTTTAGAAAAACATACATTTAAAATTGGTTATATGAAAAGCCTTTTATCAGGCATGGTAAAGTTAATCAAGTTACCATTTTGAGATATCAACAACAGTTCCTGAATCTGTTGTCTGTTTCTCCACAGCGATTTCTATGAGAACTCAGCGCTGATGCTGGAGGAGGAGGGGGCCGTGATCGTGGGCCTGCTGGTGGGCCTGAACGTCATCGATGCTAACCTGTGTGTCAAAGGCGAGGACCTGGATAGTCAGGTAACAGCTGCTCCAAAACAGTGCTTAGAGCGTTTGAAAAAACACGTTCATATAAGACACAGATTTAGACCGAATGTGTCTGATGACGATGCTGGTCACAGCTGGTGTGCTCTCCCTTCTGTCATCTCTATAATTTCATATTTTGTTCTGCTACACCATACTAAGAAAAGAAATAAGAGAGAAGAGATGTAGGTTAACACAAAATAACGTTATTCCACTTCCTATGCGCACTAGTTAATTGACGTGAAACAGTTTATCTTTAGTGACACAAACAAGATGCAGACAAGTTGTGTCTGTTTGCTCACGTTATCTCGGCGTCAGGCAGATAGAAAGCAGACGCTGTGGGTTCATGTTTCTACTCCATGAGCGGAGACTTTGTCCTTAACGCAAACATATTTCTCACTAATGCAAACACCTTGCAGTCACACCTGACTGAACGTGAAACATGATGCAATCAGGAAATGTTTAGATCCAGTGGCTCACAGAATGAGTCTACACACAGATTTTAAATTGAATGGCAGCTGTGAATTAGGTCTGATTCAATTCCTGAAGAAAAGTTGATACAAAACATGTTTTCAGAATCAGAATACCTTTATTAGTCCCACGGAGGGGAAATGTGCATAGTTACAGCAGGAAAAAGAGCCACAGACAGCTTAATGTTACATAATGTTAAATATGTGACATGCATTAAAAAAAAAAGTACTAAGTTATGATATAATAATAAGGGATAGTGGTGGTCTAATGGATAGTGAGGTGGGCTGAAGATCGGAAGGTTGTGAGTTCATATCCCGCCAGGAACACCACCACTAGTGTGCCCTTGAGTAAGGCACTATCCTTAGTTACTCCAGGGAGAATGTCCCTGTAATTGGTCATTGTAAGTCGCTTTGGATAAAAGCGTCAGCTAAATGAAATGTAAAGTAATAATAAAAAATATAATAAAAAGTTACATAATTTAAAAAAATACACATCCTGTAACAGTTCTTAGGATTTAGCAGCCAGGTATATATTACACAGTTATTAACAGCATTTATATATTGCACATCTAGCACATATTGCACATAGGTGGTTGGTATTTAGCAGCAAGGGGTGATATAGTCTGTGTTGTGGTGTGTGTGCTAACCATTATTATGTGTTCTGATGTTCGTGCTGTTTGGTAGTTACATTTATAACTAACACTTCATACTTTTTATATGTCGGTGAAATAATTGGTAACTAAAGCTGTCAATAAATATAATAAATAAATACATTTTTCATTTGAGGTTGGGGTGATCGACTTCTCTATGTACTTGAAGAATGACATTGATGATTACCGGAGTGAAGAAAGGTATGATATTTTTGTCTCTTATTTCGGTACCACTTTACAATAAGACTACCCTTATAAAGGGTTTACGAATAGTTTGTAATTCATTTATTAATTAGGTTGTGAACACTTTATAAATCATTAATACGCTTTTATAAGACATGAGATAAACAGGGCAACTGTGACCTGTCAAATAGTGAGCCCACATTTATCTGTACTGCTAAGCCTTATATTGGCTACCTAGCTTACTTCGTCTTCTTCATCAGCCAGCATCCTTGGTATCTGTTGCTCACTGAGTTGATTCTCGCTAAGTAGCCAATATAAGGCTTAGTCATCTTGCCAAATAGTGAGCCTGTGTCTATGTTAGAACTGGTTTATAAATGGTTCTTAATGATGAATAAAGTGTTTACAACCTAATTCATAACCTAATTATAAACCCTTTATAAGGGTAGTCTTATTGTAAAGTGGTACCCTTATTTCGATACATTGGGTCTCTTTAGGACCCCTAAATGTAATGCAGAACTCAGTTTAATGTACTGTATGTTTCCCTGGCAACAGGAATAGTCAGATAGCGTCCATCTTGGATCAGAAGAACTACGTAGAGGAACTGAACCGACAACTCAAGTAAGACATTTCAAATTGTTTTTAAAGCAGATGTGCTTGCAAGAATGTTAAAGGAAATTGCAAGGAATGGATATCCTCTGTTTAAAATTCTGTGCATTTTGTACCTTTTCAAAATGGCTGCTTGAGACACTAAGCCGTTCAACCTCTTTTCTACCTCACACTTTTTTTCTATATCTGATGATTGTCAGATGTTTGAGTGGTAGTGTGAGTCTTTGATACATTTTAAAATAGATCCAGTATTCAGTCGGTTTTAGTTTTCAGTCAGTCTGGTTTCAGAAGTGCACCTCTGTCCCATCTGTCCCTACAGACGGACTCACTAAAGCACAGACTGTCACACTTCCTGTTTCAGGTTCTCTTCTCACAAACCTGCTATTCTTATTTATATGAAACTTGATTGATTTGCTCCTTTAAATGGAATAATCTTTCTTCACTGGGTACTATTTCAACATTAAATTACCCTGTCATTAATATATTTTAATGAAACGTATGAGCTGTCTCTGAAGCCAAGTTTAACACTGCCACTGCCATTGAATTGTAGCTATTAAAGTTGTAAAAGTTAAATATTGTGTGTTTGTTTGTCTAGCTCCACAGTTCACGGTCTTCAGGGCAGAGTGGACAATCTAGAGAAGTCCAACACTAAACTCATAGAAGAGGTGAGACCCACACTCAAAATACCTGTGTATTAGACTAACTTACCTCTGAGTGTAAGTCCATGTTGCTAACACTGTATCTGATACGATGATCTAGTCCACATGTGTCAAACTCAAGGCCCGGGAGCCAAATCAGGCCCTTGGTGGATTTTATTTCGGCCCGCAGGATAATTTTGAATTACTATTAGATCTGGCCCGCCGGTATATTGCACACACACCTTCACTCAACTTGAGGATTTCCTCAGCTCAGAGCCTGACCCCAAACATTGATGAACTTGCACCCAAGATGAGATGCCAAGTATCTGGCTTGAACTAGCATCACAGAGCAGCAAACTGAGTTTCCATGGATGTTTCCTTTTGCACTTTTTAGGGCATGTTTGTTTTTTTCTTTGAGGGAAATAGTTTTTTTGAAGCTGTTGTTGGCCTGTGGAAAAATGTAATCATAAGAAATGACTCCGGAAAAGCTGCAGATAGAGCCATAAGAAATGAATGCAACTGATTATTTAATGTTTCATGTTTTTTTTTTAGGCAATCATTTAAGCTTTGTTAGTTCCAGGTTTAATATGTGCAATAAGTTATTTCAATAAGTTTTGCAATAAACATTGAACCAGTCCGGCCCTCGACTAGTACCGTTTTTTAAATTTTGGCCCACTGTGTATTTGAGTTTGACACCCCTGATCTAGTCTATGTTTTGATGAAATCACAGTGTCAGTATGAGTGTTATTGTCAAACTGTTTATTATCAGTTAAATTATTTTAGTTTTTGTTCTTCGTGTTTGTGTGTGTAGTTAGCCATAGCCAAGAACAACATCATCAAACTGCAGGAAGAAAACCAGCAGCTGAGGAGTGAAAACACCCTAATTGTGCTGAAGACACAACAACATTTAGAGGTACACAATCACACATGCACTCACACAAATCACATCATTGTCTTAAGACAGATGAAAACTTTGAAATGGTACATCCAGCCTTTAATATTTCAACAATTATTCCCAGAACGTACTACAAATTGATGCATGATACGGCTGACATTGATGTTTTTTATCTAGGTAACCCAGGGCGATGCGTCAGTGGAGAGAGACACGTACAAACAGTCTCGTCAGGGTTTGGATGAGATGTTCAGCGATGCTCAAAGGCAACTGAAGGAGGAGTGTCAGCTCAGACAGGTGAGACTGCGCCTGATTGTGTTCATTTTTTTGATTGAGTGGAAAAAATAGACTTGACAGCATAGGTTTTATTTTTAGGATGTGGAGAATGAGCTGGTCGTCCAGATGTCCATGAAACAGGAAATGGAGCTCGCTATGAAACTTCTGGAGAAAGATATTCATGAAAAGCAGGTCAGCATCTATCCACTACTTACTCTGTCTTCCTTTTTGAATATATTTACAGAGCTTAAAGAAGACAACAGTGTACACGGAAGGACATCATTTAAAAATAAGAAAACGTCAAATGTTATTCAGAATGACAATGAATACACAAATAGAATTCACCAAACATGAAAATTCATCAATGTTCTAAGAGACATGGGATAATATAGGACTTTGCATATCATGAGAATTGTTAATAATTAGTTTTAATCAATTTGGACACTGACAATTAATGCAAGGGCCGAATCAGGACTTTATTAGATATATAAATGGACTCAATGTGTTAACGTTATGATAACAGGAATGATGTGGTTGCTCTTCAGACATAGCGTCATCACAATGAGGGCGCACATGATATTAAAGCCACTCAGCAGCAGCTCATGGAGCAGTCATACTTTGCCAACTCCTCTGCCAGTCTCTCTCTGGCAGCCTCAGGCCTTTCACCACCAACATGTGAACACTGCTACATTAAAAACCAACAGCGGATATTTGTAACAAAGCTGCGACATACAGTGGTCGCCATGGCTACAGCCTAATTACATTCCTTAAAAACATCATCAGGTGAATCTGACTGTGGAGAAATGTCATTATTTCACAGGACCATGAGGCATGTCATATGTAACATGTATTGTGAGATACAGTGTGTCCTAGATATGCTTCAGCCCGCTAACAGGTAGCTCTATCTGTTTGTCATTAAAACATGTCATAGTATAAAATAAAAATCATAATGAAAGTGATTGTATAGTATTTGATATAAGTTCAGTCAGACAACTCACGTGTTTCTTAATATGTTTATCATAAGCAGCATATAGTTTGAGTTTGGCGTCTAGACTCGGGCCTCATAACTCCACAGATTTACACAGAACATTGAGTGATGATTAGATAACTATCCTCCGAGCCTACAGGTGGAAGCTGGGGTGGAGCTGGGGAGGTGGTGGGGCAGGCGAGCAGCAGCAACATGAAACACACAGCAGGAACATGAACGTAGCAATAGCAAGTGAACACAGCAGTAGCAGCATAGCGAGGCAGAGGCAGGAAGACCTGGCAGCTTAAATAGAGCGGCATGTTTAGGAGAAAGTGTTTGGTTGGTTGTAAGAGGGACGAGGTGCGTCACGTGTTAATGTACCATTGGTGCTCGAGTTGACTGCCTGAACTAGCTCGCAGGCTCCGCCCCATATATCGTAAAAAGTCATAATTTAGTATGTTTTACAGAATTTAATGAAAAAGGCATTGTACATTGTCGAAAAATATAATACAAAATGTAATATTATATGTATATAGATAAATGTTATATTAGCATTTTTTTTAAAACACAAGAAATGTCATTACTCCCAAAAAAACTGTAATGTAATTATCATAATTCACAAACTGCCAGTAAAACAATTATTTGAGAGTATAAAGAGATGCATACAAATAATAATATCAAACCCTTTAATGACTGAATGTATAGCGGAAATAAAAAAGTTACAGTAAAACTAAAACAGTCATGACGAAATCAGAACACCATTGATGTGTTTTTATTCCTCACCAACAGGACACACTGATCGGACTGAGACATCAGCTGGATGAGGTCAAAGTCATCAATGTGGAGATGTACCAGAAGATGCAGGTACAAAAACACAACCTCTTATCATACACAATCAGGGTGTCCGCGGGGTCTTAAAATGTATTAAAAGTTGATAAATAAATGTAGCGCTATTAAAAAGTATTAAACGGCATTTTCCAAGGTATTACGTTTTGTAGCTTGTTTTCAATAAGTATGTAAATTGTCCAAAGAGGTTGTATTCTACAGTCTGCCTGAATGTAATCATTGCGTAGGTGTGTAGTGTGATTCTGTGTAGTTTATTTATGGCATCCCGTTGGATTTGCCGTCATCTGAACAGGACATCGCACGCTCACTGCTTGATAGCGCGCGAAGGTCCGTTTACGCCGGTTGTTAAACAACATCGTTATGGGGAAATGCAAGTTTGCGTCCAAATGGTTGGAAGATAAGGAGGAAGGACAATCAATACTGTATATAGTAAATGTGAGGTAAAGTGTTTCGCCAATGTAACCGGTTAGAACTCAAAAGTGGCGATGAGGTCTTAAAATGTATGAAAAGGGTCTTAAAAAAGGTCTTAAAAGGTATTACATTTGACTTCAGGATTCCTGCATATACCCTGACAATGCACATACTGTCATAATTCTAATGACTAATTTATTTATTTGTTAGTCGTCAGATGATGAGATGAAGAAGAAGAATGACGTGATCACTCGTCTGGAGGAGAAGACCAATCAGATCACTGCCACCATGAAGCAGCTGGAGCAAAGGTGAGTTACGCTCCCATGTGTCCTCAGTCCCTCCTTCAACCCTCAATCTACTCAGCAAAGACCCTTGTTGTACAGTCTCTCTATGCCTTACCAACACATGAACAAAATCCCCTCCTAGCAAAGTGAGTTTGACGACCCTTTGAACATCTTTGACTCACGTTGAACAAAAATTATGGAATCATAGAAAAATACTCTTGGACTGGAATTCTCAGTCCAAAATGTTGTATTTTTTTCTACAATACATGAGAGTAACACCTACGTCACTTCCGGGCGAAAATTACGGCCCCGCCCACTTTTGGGGGAAAACAAAGCTGTCCTTTGAATGGCAGTTAATACAAATTTTGAAGTTTTTGCCAATCCGATCAGAAATGTAAGAAAACCGTGGATTTTTGGATCTTCAAAGAGCCCGATTACGATGGCCAGTCAGGCAAACGATTACATTAAATCATTTGAAATCGACGATCGGTCTCGATATATGGTTAAATTAAAATCAGTAGGCGAGGCCGTAATTTCGCCAGCTGTTACTCTCATTAGCGAGGCGGAAAATAATAGTTTTATCATGCCAAAAAGCTGCTGTGTCGTTTATTGCATCTCAAACATTAAAACAAATCCAGAGTTACGTTTTTCTGTACTTGCTCTAAGAAAAAAGGACAGTAAAGAAGAGCTCTGTGGCTTCAGGCTCGATCGCCATTCAAATGACAGCGTTGTTTTCCCCCAAAAGTGGGCGGGGCCGTAAAGTGACGTAGATGTTACTCTCACCTATGGACATCGATCGCCTCCTGCTATATTTAACCATATATCGAGCCCGCTCGTCGATTTCCAATGATTTAATGTAATTGTTTGCCTGTCTGGCCGTTGTAATCGGGCTCTTTGAAGATCCAAAGATCCACGGTTTTCTTAAATTTCTGATTGGATTGGCAAAAACTTCAAAATTTGAATTGACCGCCATTCAAATGACAGCGTTGTTTTTCCCCAAAAGTGGGCGGAGCCGTCATTTTTGCCCGGAAGTGACGCATGTGTTACTCTCATCTATAGTACTTTTTATTATTACAAAAACCCCACATAGTTCTGCATGGTGTATTTTTAAGTTAACGACAGAGAACTGGGGAAACACATTTGGGAAATTATTTTAGTCTTTAATCTCTGTTTCAGTGTTGGTCAAAGGAAATTGGATGTATAAGGTATTATTTAATATAGTTTTATACATTTATTTTGATATCTAGGCAGGAAGTCCTTATTCAGAGGTAGTATCCATTTTCCTGAAACACTTAGAGCAAAAAACCGTAACTATAAAAAATACGTTTTAATCCATTACCATTAACTAAACTGCGAATAAAAAAAATGGGAAGAACTGCTAAACTATTTCCTGAGGGGAGCCCTGCAGTCCATAATGTATTATATCAATCAATGACCCTGCTGATATCTTCATGCCTGCATGTTGTCTTGATCACTGCTGCACTACAGTCCTTGTACAATGCTCCATATTTCAATATCAGTCATCATGAGACCTGCTGGTCCATTGTTGCGTTCTGATCCCTCCTCACCTCATCGTCTACCAGTCAACACGGTCCACCCCGCCCTCCCTCCCCCATTGGTTTAAATCTGTTCCATCCTATTTGTGATTGGTTGTGAATGTTTTTGCTGCCCTACAGGTCTGTGTTCAGTAGTCTGGTAGTACACAAACCCCGGTTACAGCTTTGTGTTGTGTAGCTAAAAAACAGTTAAACATGTATTGACACAGCCACTGTTTTAATATTTGATTAGATAAGTAAAGATACATCCTCCCCTTAGAAAACAACGTGTTATCTACTTTAGAGATCAGGTTTAAATCTCTCATGTTGATAGTATGCTTGTGTAAATGTCCCTTCTTTCTGATCATGTTATATTTATCTATCACTCCACATTACCTTTCAGTGCTTTTGCTTCCCATCTCTTCTCATTACTCATACGCTTACTGTTGAGGGAAATGTATCCAGACTAAAGAAATCTGATGCAAGTGGCAGCCTGAAATCAGATTTCTGTGTTTAATGTCTTTTATTGCTGTTCTTGTGATGTTAAAAGTCACTTAAAGTGTTCAGTGTAACCGGGGCCACTTAGCATACTGGTGTATTGACATCCTTTCTTCCTGCCTTTCCTCCTTCTTTCTTCCCTTCTGTTTGTCTCTTTTAAACCATCCATCCAATCATCTATCTGTTTTGCTCCCTTGAAACCACATTTCCTTTATTTCCTGATTTGATCCGCTGTGCAGTGATATGGATCTGCTAAATCAGACCCGAACGCTTGCTATGTCATTTGTTAATTGTGCCAGCTCAGACACAGAGCACCAGTACAAGCTAGTGAAGGACATCTCCTTCTGAGGACACATGCAGTCACACCATGGCTTATGACTGAATACATAAACAGACTTAACTTAAAGGGTTATTCGATCTCTAGTTAAATCCCGTTCAGACAACTCCGCTGGGTTTGTGCTGAATGGATTTCCTCTGACTGCCCTGGTTCAGCTGGTCAGAGAACTGTCTGAATATTACTGAATCTGTTGTACTTTAATAGTAACGTTTTTAAATAACTGTACACTACTTTATCTATTCACTTACACATGCATACATATGCTACACATTGTTCCTGTCTGCAGTAGTCAGTTTATATGCAGTAACACTGACAGTAAGATAGTTGACAATGAGATGTTATCATAGGGTCGTTGTTGTTGTTGTTCACATTGAGTTACAATGAGTATAGTGGGCATAACAACAACACCTAGAGTAAATGTAGTGTTTAGGGACTGTATTAAGGAACTGTACAAATGTAATTGGAGTGGGGAGGAGGTAACATTATTTATTATTTGTTTATTTGTTAAAAATGGCTACACTGTCCCGACAACATCTTGTAATATTTGATTTCTGATTGATTTTTGCCATTAATAACTGAAATTGCTTAAAGAATGTAATGTGGTGTACTCCAATTAAAACCATAACATGTTAATGTTTTAATCAATGTTCACATAGCTACCAAATTTGCCAAAAATGTTGCTGATGTCTGGGATAAACCACATGACATCTAGAGAGATAACATTCATTAACGACAGTCACCCCCAAAACGTTGAGGCTGCCATCCACCCAGTACCAACTGGGAACACACGTGTAATCCTTCCTCCATTTTTCTAAACTCCCTCCTAATAATTTCTGTACAGTCCCTTAATAGCATCCACGTTGGCTCTGCAGAAAAGTTGAGTACTATGTCATTTTGAGCCATGCTATCTTTTGACCTCATGGCAGCCAGAGTCTAAACAACCTGAGATCATATAACCTAGGAATAGTGTTTCCACGGCGGCCTGCACCTCATCAGAGTCACTCCAGATGTGAGACAGGAGTTTGCCTGTGCAGCCTCCTGCTTTATTTTGCTGCTGTGCATGTGACCTGCTGCTGAGCGGCTGTGAAGACCCTCGCTGCGTCTGAACTCAGTCCCTCACTCACTTCTCTCTCAGTGATTCACATTCAAAAGTGTTCTCTATAGTGAGCAGAACTTTTGAGCCAATTCTGAACCATTGTCATTTTGCATCTCCACGTACAGGTGACTTTTTTTTTTTACCCTTTGGACACGAATTAAAAGTCAGGGTAGAAATATATTTCACTCTAGAGCTGCAACAGTTGGTAAATCAACAGGAACATATTGGCCAAATAATTTGATAACTGTTTAATCTCAAAGTAATTTTCCATGCAAAAATTGGGGATAAACTGCTTTTAATTATTAAAAAAGGAAATATCTTTGGTTTTGGTCGAACAATATCCGACATCTATAAACAGAACCTTGGACTTGGAGAAACTGGGATGGATTTTTACTATTTTTGTTACATTAATGAAAACAATAGTTTGATGCAGCTCTAGTGCACTCTATAGTTAAAAGGGATTGATTTTGGACACAGCCGCCTCCTTCTGTCATTGATTTACTTGAACTGAAAATGGTAAGGTTGAGTCAGTTTTGCAGATAAAGCTCAGCAGCTTCAGCTCATGTGATCTGTTCCTGCAGGCTAGGCCGACTGTAAAGAATTGTAAACGTTTGATGCTTTTCTCAAGCAGGCTTGAATGTTGTTGGGTCTTGTTTTTGCATATTTATTGGCTTTTGTGATAGATGAGATTCATTCTTCCTATTCTAACTCCATGTTCACAGTACTGTAACTCCTCTCAATTTGTAGAAAAAAATAAGCACTTAGTACAGCTGTTGAAAACTCACAACTACTGTCTTTTACCGCAGTGACCAATAAAGTTAGATGTTTTGAAAGTGTTGGGTGTGGTTTGAGTTTCTGGACAGGTTTAGAGTGCTGACACTGGGAAATGTATTGTGTGTTATTAAGTCTTCAATCAACACTAGCTGTTAGTCAGGTTGTTGGGGAATGATCTTCCTCGTGTGAAAATATCTCACATGGCTCAACAAGATCGAAAACGTCCTTAAAATCCTCATATCCCAAAAACCTTTGTATTCGTCACTGCTCTGTTTCCACCCCCTCATTTCTTCATCTCTGATTGTACTCTGGTGTTGTTACAAAGAAAAGTACAATGCCTGCCATCTTCCATCCCCACCTCCATTTGTCATCATCCCTCCATGTACCCTCTCGTATTCCTCTATTATTTTGTGCCCCCCCCCCCTCCATACTCAGCCCCCAGTTTTTTCTCTCCATGGTCCTGAGTTTGTCCCTGGTTATAATGGTGCAGATTACAGGAGGCAGAGAGGCACCGCACCTCGGCCGAGGAGGGGACCAGACGCTTCAAACTGGACTTTGCCAACAAGGCGGACAGCCTGCAGCGGCAGATTGAACACAGAGAGAAGCAGCTGTAAGCAAAACCGCTCTACGAACAGACTCATGCACATACATGCACACTGAGGCACATGAGACACAGCATATCAAATACACCATCATCTGTGTAGGATTGTAAACCAAATGTTGTTGATGAAGCTTTTCTACCTCCAGTTTTTACATGTATAGCCTTGATTCATGAACCGAGCAGTAATTCACAATTATATATATATATACAATGGATAATGCGCATTGTGCATTCATATAATCTGTTACTCAGTATGTCTTGTTTGTCATTGTTATACGTGTTTTTGGTGTTGTATGAACATGTTTGTGCTGTTCCTGTAGCCAGCAGCTGGATACGGACCTGAAGATAGAGAGGGAGTGGAGGGTGACGTTACAGAACGATCTGGACCGAGAGAGAGACGCGGTGGCTCAGCTCAGCACCGAGGCGCTGCAGATCAACGGACTGAAGAAGGTAAAGAGACGGGGAAAGAAAGCGTTATGAATGTGATCATATATAGTTTTTTTTTCTACGCGTGTGTGACTTCCAGTTTGTTATTTGGAGTTTTTATTGCGATAATTGCAGGAGTTTCATCGCCTCCACGATGAAAACATCCAGCTGAAGACCATCTGTGAGGACCAAGAACAAGCTCTCGAGGAGCTGGGATCCAAACTGAGCGAGTATGTGCGCTTTAAAGTGAAAATCTAAAAAGACAGTAAAATGCTCTTACCAAACATGTCATATTTTTAATTACCAATTCAATTTTAAACGTGTATCAAATTTAAGGTATGTTTGTATGTGTGTTTTGAGAGTAAAAAGAGATCTTAAAATCCTTAGGGCTATGCCAAAGTGTTTGCTAATTCACAACAAATAGCAGATATTTTGTTTTCTTCCAAAAAAGAAAGTCAATAGATTTTAGAAAGCCAAACATCTTCCCTTGATGTAGCCAAGAATGAAACCTTTTTACTAATATTCTTTATATTTTGTGTAAATGTCTATTAATGTATTGTTTTTACCATCAGATCCAAATTAAAGATTGAGGACATCAAAGAAGCCAACAAAGCTCTTCAGGTAAAGTAAAATAGCACATCACTAAGACACGAAGTTAGATAAGATATTAGTAAAAGGGCAGAGATTATTTAAGTATGTTGTGTGCTGTTTTGTAACATGTATAATGCAAAGTTAGGGAGAAACAGAGCCTGAATGTCTTGTTGTTGCAGGGGGGGCAGGTGTGGTTGAAGGACAAGGAGGCCAGCAACTGCAAGCTGTGTGAGAAGGAGTTCTCCATCTCCAGACGAAAGGTCAGTCAAAGAAGTACCAGAATAAAAGTAGAGATTGAAATCCATTCCTGGTTCAAACTACTCAAGGCCCTTGATGTGTTGTTGAGAAAGTAATTACTCCACATACTTTTGTATGAACAAATGGCAACTGGTATTTTATATCATATAAAAAGTTAATAGGATAATATGTTTTAAAAATATAAACAAGTCATACTATGGTTTTTCTACAATATTTTAAGAAGTTCATACTATAAACGCCATAAGTTGTTACTGAGAAAAAAGTAAGATTATAGTATACCTGAAAAATATTTAAAAAGTCATGGTATGTCAAAAAAAAAAGTCATTTCACACACATATCAAAAAAGTCATTGTATAGTTTGCAATAAATTGTTCCTAAACAATATATATAAAAGTATAGTTTGCCTTTAAAAATAAGAAAGTCATAGTATAGTATCCCGTGGATATATAACAAAGTTGTACTATGCTACAGTAATTCACCTTGATCTAAATCCTGAACTACACCCTGCTGTGTCTTTGAATTGTATTTATTTGGACCTGAAAACTCCTTGAAAGACATAGGCTCTGATGTTCAAGGTGTGGGGACCCTGTATGTAGTTATTGTGGTTTTAAATCTATGCGTCCGTCCCTCTCTCCAGCACCACTGCAGGAACTGTGGGGAGATCTTCTGTAACAGCTGCTCTGACAATGAGCTCCCTCTGCCCGCCTCGCCCAAACCTGTCAGAGTGTGTGACACCTGCCACGCCCTGCTGCTGCAGCGCTGCTCCTCCAACCCCACGTGAAGCACCGCTGCACCTCTGTCCTGACCGCCTCAAACTATCTGAGACCCTCAATCCCCCCCTCTCGGGTCCTCTGTAAGAACTGTCTCACAACTTCTCTCTACACACCGCTGCTGCTGCTAGAAATGGCCCCTGTGCATGACCATTGAGTATATTTGCGATGTCTTTATTTACGGTTTGAAAAAGTCCCTCATAGACAAACAATGGCATCATTCTGCCTTTTTTTGAGTAAAGGCAGTCAGCCCACATCAACAGGTCTTACTTTATAGTCTGAGTGAGAATCTCCTTTATCATTATCCTAAATATCAGTTTTACAGATGAAACATTTATGGCAAGTTTAGATATCATTGACCTGTCTGCTATAAGAGGAAACACTTTACTTTGGGCCGAGTGTGAACCTGCACTGTGACGAGCACTGCTGCAGCTAAATGCAGATTCACAGCCAAACCTGCATTATTATCATTTATTTATCAGGCCTCAAACTGTACACAGCCAAACACATGAGATCATATCATTTATACAGATAAGTGTTGTTGCCTTGTTACCGAGTCTGAATGCAAAGCCCCTTCTTTAGAGCGAGAGGGAAATGAAAACAAACATAACATTTACACAGGCACAGAATCCGACGTGACTACATACTGAATTGTATCGTTGACTGTGGGAAGTTCCTGTTTTTATTTGGTTGTTTCACATAGCAACGAAGGGTTTTCTGCAAACTTATTCTAGAAACGTTTACAGCTCCAAGCAGATTTTGCTCTGCTGACACTATGACCCAAACTAGTGGCTTTCACATGAACTGAATCTTAGTGCTGTTGTGCCTGTGTAAATGCAGGGAGTTTAACCTACTTCTCGTGGTGCCAAAATGAGCCCTAAATTCTACAGTGAGGATTTCTATAGAGAGATATTTTACAGTAGCAACACTAACCCAGAAGGTGCTGCTTCGAGGACCAAGAAGAGCACCAGATGGAAAACCAACTGGCTTTAGTTAGTTAACCACTGATGGCCGTCTTACAACATGACCACTTCACTGACTAGTTGGTGGCTGAAAACAGATACACACTTCTGACACCATAGCCACAAGTTTGAACACTTGCCAATCCTATATTACCTGTAATATAGAGGAGTATTTATGTTTGATTTTGTGCACATTTATTGTTACTTTCAGAAATCCAGGGAGACTTGTGTGAGGCTTCCCTGTGAAGTTAGTTGTAATCTGTGCAGATGGAGATGTTATGATAGAAGAACCACATTTTACTGCTGCTCCATTCCTGAGAAGGAAATGTTGAATTTCTTAATCTAGTTTTTTATGATTTTAAATGCTGCTGACTGTAAGGTTCAGTCTTCAGCGACGGGTTACGAGTTCACTGCACATTCTGATTTTGTACTTAAATACAATGTTTACAATTTGTGACTTAAAAGAAACTGGAAGTATTAATTTCCATGAAGACAAAACAGGCCTGGGTTCATTTCAATAAGCGTTTTTCAAATATTTAAAATCACACCAATTTATCATTATAGGCAAACGCTTCTGAGCTGCACTCAGGCCTGAAACCTTTTTGTACACGGTTGCGTTTATAAATCTTTCCATGGGACTTGTAGTGTTGATACCACTGTACAGTATGTTGTATATACACATGTTGATAATCACCGTGGCCCTTTAGCTTATTAAATCCTGCCAGTTTAATAATAACTATTGCCAACGGTTTGTTGCCTTGACTGTAGCAGTTTGATTAAATCACGTTACAAACACAATCATTGGTGTTGTTCCTCTGTGAAAATGTACCGTTGTGTTTTTCTTGTCCTACTGAAATCCGCTGACTATGATTATCAATTACATGCCTCATAAGAATTTGATTAATTTACATTCTTGTATTAAGAAGATCTATTGGAGACCCTACGTAAAAGGGCTACATGCTAAAAATGTATTTGGGCTCTGACATTATATTCAGAATTCTAACTTTCAATTCAGAACATTTTTCAACGTGATGTGAGAAACTGGGAGACAAAAAGACAATTAAATATAAAATTTATTACGCAAAATGTACAACAGCTGCTGAAGCTATTTTACAGCTCAAATATAGAGATTTTTTTTTATTCACCTTGTGGAATATAATATTCAACTTAGTTTGAAATTCTGTCATGAACTCTGAAAACATTCATAAAAAACACACTGGCTCACATTAAACAACTTTTCAAAGCAGGAAAGCTGATCTCAAGTGCAGTTTGAATCAGCATATAACAAACCATAATAAACAGTTTAAAAAATGTTTAACAGAATTTCTTCCCGAAATACATTTGTAATGTTTTGAGGTTGCTTCACACTGCTCTACCTCCTAGAGAGCGTCATTCAACTCAACAAATCAAAACGTTTTCATCAACCTCTGAAACCCGACAGCTGTTCTTCTGTGTCTCCATCCGACCAACGTCTCCTGCACTCATTCAAACAAGACAAAGTGCATTCCACTTAAAGAACTGAAACACATTCAGTTTCCTCCTTCCATAGTCTTTCATAACTATGGGAAAATAAAAAGTTGTTTAAGTTCTCTTAATCGTGCAACTAAGAAAAATATGGCGTTTAATGTGGCTCGAGAAAAAACATATTCGATTTTCAAATCCTTTAAAAAAAATCTATAATGAACAAGAAATCTCCTTTTAGACTAATTAACCTTGTTTAGCACCAACAACAGCTCAGACATCTGAAGGCTGTACTGTTCTTCATTTGCTCTCCAGAAGTGTTTAATAACAGTGCTTGCTAAGGTCTTCTCTGGTCTGGTATCCATAGGTTTGAACCTCACAATTAAAACAAATGACTGACTTCAGATCAGCTCTCCTGCTTAAAAAAGTAATCGAGTAAATGTGGCCTGAAGAGACAAACGTCAGGATGGATTGGAATAGTGGGATGGCGTCATCAGTATGAGCCTTGCATCCCGCTGCCCCGCGAGCGTCCGCCCCCCCCTGAGTTATCGTAGTAGCCCCCACCACCACGGCCTGAGAGGGATAAGGAAAGAAAGTTAGTGTAAAAATGTGTGATCCGAAGTGATTGGATTGAGAGATTTTAATAAAATATATGATCAAAACTAACAGCAAACTTTTATTTATCATGAAAGTGAAACAACTCACCCATTTCAGCGGCTCCATTGGCCGTTGAATTAAGAAACAGCTCGATGTAGCGATGCTCTGTGGAGAAAATATCAATCCATTAATCATACTGAAGAACTCGTGTTTCTGCTGCTGTGATTGTGTATTCAAGTCAGGAAGTCGGCATGCCCTCATTGCAAAAGAGAACACAGCCAGGAAAGTAAAAGGCCTATCTGTGAACGATACATCTAGAATCCCTCCCCACTTTACCTTGCTGTCAGGTGGCCCTTTCCCACAAGGAACAAAAGACCGTTATCTAGCAGGTATCAGTTATAGAGCAGCACCTGTGTTCTGTGAGGTGAAGCGGTTGTTTTTGTCCAAGGAGTTTGGTGGCTTTGAATAGAGCATAGATAACGTCTTCACTTGCCCAAAGGCTGTCTGACAGCAAGGTAGAGCGGTGAAATAATTCTAAATATACCGTACACTTGAAATCCTATAGCTTTTTAAGGTGGCTCAAATAAATGTTTCCTCATCCCACAGCAGTTAAACCCCATTTCAACTATACATTGGCAGCTTAGCTGTTGATTTTGCAAATTTGTGCTATTATTAATGCTTTTCTTATGAGAGACAAGTTGAAGAAAATAAAGGAGGACATACGCATGTGGTTCTTGTCTTTGGACATGGCTGCCACAGCGTCTTCATGGCAGCGAAACTCCACATCGGCTTCTCCTGTCGACTTCCCGTTAGGAGCCACATCGATGTGGACCCGCAGTGGATTCAGAGGAGAGAAGAACTACAGGAACAAAGAGAGATACATAAACTATTAACACAGGCATACACACATGACTCGTTTAGTGTTTTTTCAAATGTAGTAGCTCACTGGTCTTGGTGACGGACACCACTCTAAGTATGGCGTAGAGTCATAGGTATATGATGTTTTGCAGTTCTTCCCTGCAGTATATATCCATTTTATGATGTAACAAGTTAGTTAAAGGGTCCTGGTTTCTGAAGCAGAATATTTAGGATGGATTGGTCAAAAATGAATCTGCAAGCTTCTGTTGTGACAGAGTTAGCTTCAGATCTGATGGTCCCGAGACTCCCGACTGAAATTCCACAAAAGAAGATTGAACCGCACAAAGATGCCATCATGATGTATAACCTTACTATCACTGCCTGCAGCAGGAACGTTTTCTTCTTGGGGAAACTCAATTGGGTGATTTTAAAGTCTTTTAGACCCTGCACTACACAGAGCCTTTGTTTGCACGTCTACAAGAGAAATAACAAAAAGTAACTGGTCTCAGTGTGTGCTCTTACTTTAGCGACGTCTCCCTCTGTGGCGCGGAAAGGTAAGCCCCTCATATGAACAAAATGGCCGTTGTGGAAGCCTGTAGAAACATCACCTTGACCACCGTAACCGTGGCCTCCCATCCCTGAGTCAAACACACACAAACATCCACAGATTAATAATGCATCATTTAGGAATGTAGAACAGAGAAATAATCTGATACTATTGTTTCATTTACTTAAAGGTGGGGTATGTAATTTTGGAGAAACCCGCTCGAGTGCGCTAGAATTTGAAAATACACAGCCGGAAGAAATCTGCTACTTCCTTACAGAGCCCCTCCTCCAACACACGAACGCGCACATGACCAATGAGGGCACGAGATAAGTTTGTGCCCTGATGGAAGGCTGACAGGCAGGTAGGCCATCCAGTTATTTTAGCCGGGCCGGCTAAAATGATTGGTCGTGCTTTTTACAGTACTACGGCTTCCACAGATGACATTTTTTATGGATTTTTTGTCAAAGCACTTAAGATATTCATTGCTATCGGGATGTTAAGAGCATTCCATGGAATATAACAAAAAGTGTATCTCGAGCCGGTTTCTCAAACTTACCTACCCCACCTTTAATGGCAATAGAACATATCAACATAGCGTGAAATCTTCATATAGCTTTCCATGAGAGATTACAAGAAGGTCACAATCAGCTGCTTTTAGAAAATCCAATCCTAATTGTACTTCTTCACACTGACAATGTAAAACGTCTTCATTTTTAGGTTCAGAACATTTTGAATTCATGCCACACCTTGATTCCTTTGAAAGAGGAACAATGTTAAAGTATCACTGACAAATGTCAACAAAGCAATAACTGGAAGACATTTGCTTTTATCCAAATGTCTCAATGAAGAGACATTTCTTCAGTGTTGCTGAATGCCAGTGAGAATGACTTTACCTCTTCCTCCTCTCTCTCCTCTCACTCGCTCATCAAACATGCCGTTGTCAAAGCAGTAGTTGTTGAAGCCGTTGTAGCTGTCAAATTCACCGTAACCTGGACACAGACGAACACGACAAAGTTAAGCAGGGCTCATTCTTTTACATCACTAACTGAATAACTATCTCGGCAATTACTTTATAAAAACAACACCGGCTCCTCAGGATTAAATATCATTGTTGTTCTACTGTCCTTAGCACTGTACAATTACACCTTCTTAGAAATACAGAACTGTTCTTACCTCCTCCATAGCCCCCCCCGCACCTCATGGTGTCCATCAGAGCCCCGCCGCGGCCAGGCCCGGGCGCAAAGAAGCCTCCTCTGGGGCCCCCCATCATGGGTCTGTCGTAGGGCCCCGGCCTCTGGGCTCCCACCCCCCGGTGGGGCACCTCGTAGTAAGCTCTGATCTCATTGCGACTGCTCTTAAAAATCTCTATGTACCTGCAATGCAAGCGGCCCATGAGGTGGGGGGGGGGGGGGCAGGGGAGAGGGTTAGGGAGCAGAAATGGCTGAGCTCGGGTACATAAACAGATATTTACAGAGAGAGAAGGTAAACAAACACAAAACAAATATTCTAAATAGTGGTCTAAGTACTTTCTCAAAATGAAGATATCTCATCATTAACTGGGCTGTATTAAATAGGGAAAACCCTATAGCTCTAGATTTTACATGTTGCATTCAAATAGTATTTAGGAGCTTTAATGGTAGAGGCTTCCTTGACTAACCTCCGCTATACTATGCTTAATCCCCTCTGCAACAGCAATCTATCTGTCTAATGTAATAAAAGTTCTAAATAAAGTGCCAATAACATTATTTAATATACCCAAATGTTGCTCTAAAAAGATAATAGCCCTCAGGTCTTAGACTACCAACACATCTGCATATGGCATAAAATACTCACACCACCTTTCATTTATAGATTAGTTAAATTACCTTTCATCCCATTATTCAACATCTCACCATTGTTACAATACATAAACCCAGTAAACCCATCCCAATAACCATATCAATAATTATCACATGACCCACCCAATTCATATTTATCATTGTTTTACCATTATTATTCTAGCACACCAACCCATGCTTATCATTCAACCATCACAGTACCCATCCCATTAATACCATAATTACTCTTATATGACCACCCATTAAACACTGCATTAGAAGCCCATCCCAGCCAGCCCGTCCCCTTCCCATCCGTCCCACCTGTGCCCTATTCTTTCCTTGTGTTTCCCCAGAGCCTTTTCTGCTATCTCCTTTGAGGCAAACTGCACGAAGGCTTCCCCTGTGCTCCTCCCCTGGTAGTCCACTGGCAGAGTAATCCCATTTGGCACGATTCTCAACCCTTCAACCCAAGCACACATAAATACAGAGGTCGGTAGGGAGACTGATAGATGTATGGAATATATATAACAAAACCCACTGCATATCTGGAGCTTTCAGGATTAATGTACGTCATGAGGGGAAATGTAGTAGTATCTGATAAGACAGCATTAAAAGAAGAGTGAATTTAAACTTGTAAGCTGTCGGCAGGGGGATGAAACAAATACTGGGTTGTAGTCTGCAGCTATAACATGTAGGGGAATGCAGATGGAAAACTAGCGCAGCCTATTGTAGGGCTGTGCAATTAATCATATTTTAATCGCAATTACGATTTTGGCCTGCCACAATTACGAAAACAACATAATCGGAAAAAACAATTATTTTGCTTTGCTAGGTTGTGCACTGCAACATATTTGATCTCATTAATTTTGGTCTAATTTATTTGTATTTATCATATTTATATATGTTTAGTAGCTTGGGGAAGTGTGCTCCAAAATATTTGTTGATCTTGTTTATTTGTATTTATTATTTTGATATTATTTATTTAAATGTAAATATAAATGTATCATTTATTTTATTTATTTTTGTATTGGTTTTTCAGTTGAATTATACGTTCAAGGTAATCAACAGTTAAAAAGATACTGTTCAAATTATTATTTGTATTTGTTTTAAAGTTCAATAAATAGATTTGTTCAAAGTCAATGAATAATCGTATTTAATAATCGTGATATCAATTATTGACCCAAATAATCGTGATTATGATTTTTGCCATAATCGCACAGCCCTAGCCTATTGTTGTTAAATGCCCTTTAGGAGGCATGACATCAAGGTCATGGAATATGCAGGTAAAATAAACTGTTGACGCAACACAAACAGAGTAACAGCAGGGCTGCACAATATGTCACAATCATTGAAAAGTTGTGCAATTCTTTTTTATTGGTGTACTTTTTTTATACAACAAGCAATTTATTGTATTTTAGCCGAAAACTACAAGAAGAAAATAAATAACGCATATTTTCATATTCTGGTTTATTGTGCAGCCCTGTGTAAGAGGCATACTATGAATTCATAATGATGACAGATTTGTAAACAGTGTATACGACTACAAGAACATGACACAGACATTTTGGCAAAACAATACAACTTTGTAATACAAGTGAAAAGGACACATAAGAAAAGATAAATGTGTCAATGTTTATGCTTATGTTGTGGTGTGTAGGGTGAAAGTGGAAAGCAGCGTCAAATTATAGTTGGCAGTTGTTTGAATTTGTCATGATACCCGTCAGAAGGAGTACGTTAATGTAAAGTTGACTGTTGTACCAGTTTTTTACAAATATATTAAAAAACATTAAGACGCGATAATGAGATATTATGGCTTTCAGTTCTACCTGGGCCTTTAGACTTTGAACAACGTAAGGAGACATTTTATGCGACACAGGGCTATACTTAAATATCAACAAGAGATGAGTGAAATGTTTGCAGAGCCTACATTCATCTGACATTTCTTCTAGTGGTTGTCTCATTTCATTGTTGCTCTTTTGCACCCTAGCTGTAGTTCTGCACCCTAACACTGTGGTGTAGATAATAATAATAAAAATACAGCGAGTCTGTAGAAACTATCCCTCAGATTGAAATACATTGTGGAATATCAGTACAATGCAATAACAGTTACAGAACTGTAAATGTTCACGTACCTGAGAAGAACTGAACGATCTCCTCCTTGCTGCAGCCGAAGGGAAGGCCTCTGAGTCGCAGCATGCAGCCGCTGCAGCTGTCGTAGTCAGCTGGCCCGCTGCGCTTCAGCACCCAGTCCATCTCACTGCGGTTCGACTTGAACACTGAGTCACACAGATAGAAACACACACGTCTGTTTTAACCAGAAATGCATTGAACTTGAGCCGAGAAAGAAAACGTTATATGCAATGCAAACACCCAGGAAGCCCCATCTGAAATGTCAGCAACAGGGTAAGTTGCACTTTGACCATATGAAGAATTGCTGCAATATATGAGATTGCTGATACCAAGAGAAAGTCCACAAAGTTGAACTCTTACAGGTCCATTAGTCTGTTATGATCGGTTATACTGCTTACCCTCTATGTATCGGTGTCCCATGTATTTACGGTCCTTGGAGAGAGCAATCTTGAAATCCTCAGACATTTTCAACTCAATAAATGCCTCTCCACTGGGACGGCCTTCTTTAGAGTAGGTAAAGCACACTCCGTTTACTTTCCCAACGATGTCACAGTCTGTAAATGATAATACATTTCCTTAGTACTAAGCCTGCACCAAGACATTTCCTGTCATAACAGAACATGTACAGGGTACAACTGAATCGATCTTATGAGAGCTATTTGGAGCTACAGAAAGTAGAATCCTAAAGTCCATGCTCTGTTTAACCTGAGATCCTGAAAGTTCCCTAATGTGAAAACAAAGCATTTATGTGGGTTTATTTAGGTTGTCGCTTTAAGTCACAAATGAAATGTCACTTACATTTATGCAACTAATATGAAGGAAATAACATAAATATAATACTTTATTATCTATTATGTTCACTAAGATGGACGAACAACAATTGAGTTGAGTTAATCGAGATATCATTTCAATTTTACCACTAAATCGTTTTACAGCCTCAAGCTGTTAAGATGTGTGTATTCTCACCAGAGAAGAAGCTGGCGACCTCCTCCTGCGTGCAGGACCAGGGGAGTCCTCTGATCCGAACCACATATCCCTCTTCATTCATAGACATCCTCACTGCCAGAGAGCACAACAAAAGTAATGCTTTTATTAAATACAAGTTTGCTAATGCAGTTTTTAAAAGATATATCTAGAACTTTATTGAGTTCATGTTTGCCATGGGTCCTTATTTGAAGTGTCAGCCACTATCAGGGGTAGGGGCAGCCTGTCCGTCACAGATGCTGCTGACAGATGTTGTCTATTTTAGTTGTTCAAAATAAGCATATCAAATGTAACTTCCCTACAATAATAATAATCTTGATATATACAATAAGAGCAGTCTGTTACTTTCATGTGTACAATACATTATAACCCGAGCAGAAGCAGTTCCCATGAAATATGCATATTATTCATTAACATCCTCAGTGCAATAATAACTTTAAGTATGCACACCATCAGATCAGCAGGAAGCTGAGGTTATAAATAACTCTTTTTTTTAATGTGTGTGACACCAAACAACAGTGGTGTACCGTAAAGTAACTAAGTACATTTACTCAAGTACACTATTACTTTTGTACTTCTACCCCACTAAAATTCAGAAGTAAATAGTGTACTTTTACTCCAATACATTTATTTAATACCTTTAGTAACTTTCGGTACGTATAATTAAGTATACTTTGATACCAATACTTTTGCACTTTTACTTGAGAAACATTTTTAATGCAGGACTTTTACTTGCAACAGAGTATTCCTACACTCTGGTACTTTTACTTCAGTACAAGATATAAGTTACTTCTACCACCTCTGCTTAACAATTACCAATAACGAAAACACTGTATCTGGAACCATGAACAGTATGCAATAACAAATGCCCAGTAGGTAATATTTGAATAGTTTAGCATTATAATGCTCTTCACTGCAGCTGTCAACACAGTCTAAAACAAGCTAACATTTGTCACTTCCTCTTTCCAACTCTGTTGTCTCAACGTGTTGCTAGCTAACGTAACCAAAGTTCAACTTAACTTACGTTGAGATTTCCAAACATATCCTAATAAGACGTTTAGTAATTATTTGGTAAGATTGGTTGTTTGAAGGCCCCCACAGGAGAGTATTTGTCCGCCCGGGTGCTCTAATGATGCTAACGCCTCTTTTCTGTCAGGCTGCTAATGTTAGCAGCTAGCAGGCTAGCAGCTACGGCTAACTGTAGGACACTGACAGCGGTCAAACGTACAGGGCACACTAGTTCTTCACCCAACGGTCTAACGCTGTCACTGAGCATCAAAATAAACATCCACAGGCACACGTCACTGTGTCAGAAGTGAGTGACAAATGTGTGAAAACGATGAAATTATCTCACAGTCGCCTCTCGTCCCCGGTCTCCTGCCCCTATCCCGAGCCTCAGGCAGGTGTCACTAACGAGCAAACCCGCTCAGGTATGTTCTCGCGAGAGTTGGACAAAGAAAAAAGGAGATGAAGTTTGAGTCTTTTTTATACTATGTATATTTAATAATAACAATAGGACGCCATTCAGCTAAATTGATATTTTAGGCATGAATGTGCTCATAACACAACAAATAACGATGTTTATTTCTAATGGAGGCACGTTTATTTATACAGCACATTTCAATACAAGGCATTTCAAAGTGCTTTACTAAAAATGAGAAACATTAGGAGCATAAAGAAATAGAGCAGCAGAAACATAAACATTTACCAGGCCAATAGGCTATACTTTAAGCTCATTGTTATGTAACTTTTGAATATAACTTTTCCACCTCTGATCAAAATGGCTTTTTTAACACAATGTATTAATTGTTTTACTCGTCTTATGACAACAACTAGATTCTGCAGTGACACCAGACAAACAGTTTATGCCTGAAGAGGATTTTTAGTCATGCTTCGATGACAGTCTGGAAAACACGTGACGCTGAAAACAAACAATCAGGGCGTAAAGTCCACCGACTGCAGTAGGTCAACTGTGGGAAACCACATTGTCCTAAAGACGATTTAAGCTGCAAGTCCTTCTCGTATTTAGTCTTATCATAATGGAGATTCCAGTATTTACCGTAGATGCATTTTCTAATCTACCGTTTAGGGGAAATCCCGCCGCAATTTGTCCACTTATGCATGTGAGTAATAATATTTAGGTAAAAGTAGGCCTACATTAATGTCATAATGCCATGCATATCGTATAAATTGTTGCAATAGGGTTTATAAGGACGTAAAGACACTTCAACTTGCTGTTTCTAAATTGTGCATTTCCTTTTTGTTCAAGGATCAGACTGCTCCTTGTAACTTTTTGATTATTTGGACATTATAGAGTTCCAGTTTTAGTAGCACATAATTCATAAAAAATGTATAAATTAGGCAGCATGACATACATATGTTTCTTTTCAATCCATCCATGATCATGTAGCCTACCTCAGTGTTTAATTATTGTTACAATTTGTTTGAACAATCACTGTTTTTTTTAACAGGAACTGACAGATGACTTGTATCAGAAGATAGCAGCAGAGATGAACCTGTCAGAAACAGTTTTCATCACCAGCATCAACCCGTCTGACAATTTTACCACAGGTCAGATAAACATTTTAATACATGAAGGACTTAAGATTCGTTTTATGGATTAAAAGATGCACCAGTCTGGGACAGGTTAGCATTTCGTTACAATCTTTAACCCATTGTTTAACAACTCGTGCATTGTTATTGAGACTGGTTGAATGGGGATGAAGCAATAAAGATGCACATATCTGCCAGTGGCCAATGTAAAAGTGCTTCTACAGTAATTACAGTGTCCATTGTGCACAGTTTTATGGTAATGTGCCCATTCCAGCTGGCCTGACATACTGAATACTGTAAAAAATGTGCTAAGGGTGCAACTTTTTAAACTGTGTAGCTGAGAGTACAGTGCATAAAGCAAAGCAGACACAGGACAATGTCACAACACTGTACTTAATTTCAAGCAAACTGTTTCCCTCTTCATACTCTTATAGAAAGTAGCTTTGTAACACTCTGTGGAGGGATATGTGTAGACAAAAAGCACCGGTCTGACAATGTGATTAACAGGATCAAGGTTCCGACTGCGATGGTTCACACCAACGACTGAAGTGAATCTGTGCGGTCATGCAACTCTGGCCTCTGCAGCAGTGCTGTTCAAACATAAGGGTAAGTTACCAAAAAACAAACAAACGTGTACAGATCATCAGATTAACTTCCATTTATAACCCTTTTATGTATTTCTCTCTTAGAGAATGTGAATCCCAAACTGGTGTTTGAGACGAGAAGTGGAGATCTGGCTGTCACGCAGCGGGGCGAAGGGTACGTCATGGACTTTCCTCTCAACCCACCAACAAAGCAGGTTAGTTAGTAAACTTCAATAATATATCACTTATCAAAAACAGCGATTCCAATTTGTTAAAAGTGAATGACAAAAAGGCACAATAGCTATGTAAATAGCCTGAAGTACGATAATTGCAAGCCAAATACTTAGAACATCAGCCTTTATAAGTGGTGAATGCTAGAAATACTTTTTGTTTTCTTGAAACCCAGAATGCAACAAAAACCTCCTGAACAAGCAGTGCAAAGTTTTTCAGAAGAAAGTGTTTTCAGTATCCTTTGCAATGCAGTAGTTAATAACACAACACAATTATTCAAACTTACATTTCTTCTAAACACCTGTTTTCTCAGGATGCCAATGAGTTCAAAGACATCTTAAAGGTAAGTGAGACGCCTACTCTCTGAGAACATGCTTTACAGTAGACTCCTGCTTCACTGTCTACATGAACCAATCTCTCTGTGCAATATTTGCCAGCGTGATTACATTTCTGTGTATACATTATGTTCTTCTTCCCCTTCAGACTGCAGTTGGAAACCACCCAATCCAGGATGTTTATCTGTGCCCCATCACTAAGAAACTGTTGGTTCGACTGTCTGACAGCTGCGAAAGGTTACCACCACACACACCCACACCCACACCCACACCCACACCCGCGTGTTGCCAGGTGTGTTTGTGACTCTTCCTTGTGTTTCCTGCAGGTCAGTGCTCACCAGTCTGAAAGTGGACGCTGCTGCTCTTCAGAGAAGTGAGACGAGTGGAAGAGTCAAAGGACTAATCGTCACCATGAAAGGTAACCAGAGCTTTAAAACATTAGATCCTTTGGTTAGTCTTTAGTTTTATGATTTGTTGGGCCGGACCACATGCTGTAATCTTAAATATAAAGTAGTTCCAAAGACATGCAGACTATTTTAAGATATAAGTAATAGATTACTGTTCCCTAAAATGCCATGCTAAACTATTTTAAGTTAGACTTTTTTTAATTTGTCTTTATGTTGCATCTCACTGCGAGTGGTTGACACGATCATATTTGTTTTACTTAAATTAAAAGTAGTTATAGCACAGTGTAAGAGTACTCGACTAGAAGTGAGAGTCCTGCATTTCAAGGTTTCAAGGTTCTTTATTGTCAATCTGACATAGCTACAGAGTAATTATGCAGTTGAAAATCTTATGTCATAGGCTTCTCCAACAATGCAACATAAATTTAAATAATTTATTATTCTCACAAGAAAAAGTACAGAAGTAGTAGCATCAAAATAACTTTGAAGTGCTTAAAGTAAAAATACACATTATGCAGAATTGCCTGTTTCGCAATCATAGCCTATCGTACATTCTTCTAATATATTACTGTAAAATAATTGTACAGTAATATATTTTTAACTGGTAATTGTTGGCATATTTGAAATGTATTTGTATACAGTACTGTATATTAGTTTATATACACTACTGGGTAGCTTGGGGATCAATACATTCTTATTGCAGGTCTCCCTTGAAAAAGAGATCGATGATCTCAATGGGACCACCTGGTTAAATAAAGGTTTGAAATTAAATTGATATAATGCCGTCATGTATTTGTTAATTTTATTTTGTATTGATAAAAAGCTACTAACTTAAGCTATCAAATAAGTTTAGTGGAGTGTAAAGAACAATATTAGCCTCTGAAATGTAGTTTTAAAGACTGTGAAAGTAGAAGAAAATAGAAATGATCAAGTAAAGTATCACATACTTCTAAGGAACTGGAATATACCAAGTCAACAAATATGATATGGTAAAAAAGAACACTATCGAGACGAGCCCCGTGTGAAAACTACAAGCGATGGTTAATACAATTATTCTTCATTATCCACCAATAGGATCCCCAGACTGCCAGCCAGGATACGACTTCTACTCCAGATACTTTGCTCCATGGATGGGCATCGCTGAGGATCCTGTCACTGGTACACTAACATTAAAACTACAAACACTTCTACTGCTGCTGCTGTTTCCCCTGGAATCACACAATCTGACTTAGTTGGCCTGCAGTGTGTGTATGGGGCAACATTGTAAAATACTCTTATAATCAAGTAATCCAACCCATTGGTATACAAGCAACAGGTATTGGCTAAACACTATGCGTCTTTGGAAATGTAATTTTTTTTTGTTTTATCCGGTTTTGTCTTTCGTCTCTCTGCAGGTTCTGCCCACACAGTGCTGGGTAGTTACTGGTCTAAGGAACTAGGAAAGAAAAAAATGCTGGGTAATTAATTTAAACTAATTTCACATTTACATTCACTTTGATCAGCATCTCTAAAACAAATGTAATTTAACTAACCCACAGAGGCAACTATTTTACCAACCATTCAACAATGTGTTATTATAGTAATAAACACCACCTGTTATCAAGTTAAACAGCTCTTTATTATTCAGCTGAATCATGCTGACACTCATATTCTCCGCTCTGTGTTTGTGCAGCTTACCAGTGCTCCAGTCGAGGCGGGGAGCTGGAACTAGAAGTGAGAGACGACGGAAGAATCAACATCGCTGGACAGGCCGTCACTGTGCTGCAGGGAACAATCACACTATAGCCACATGCAGGCTAATGAGAGCATTATGTGCCTGCTCAGAGAAGCAGACGCATGCTTTGTACAATGTTATCAAAAGTAACAAGACATGGTTTAAATAAAAAGCAATGCAAATTTGTGTCAAGTCTGGTCAATCTAATTTAACATCTGACAGGATTGAAAAAACAATTCACACTTTGATAGTATTTATTTTCTTTATTTACAAAATTACAATATTAAAAAAGTAACAAAACAGTGAGAACATGTAAAATCAGAGGGTGTATTGGGTGAAAAACAGATCAACGGTAGAATCACAGTTGGCTTGGGATGTTCTCTGACTTGCTCTAATAATATATAAAAGAAATCTGTCATCAGTTGAATCTTCACAGTTTGTCAGCATCAGGTTACATATGAACATTACATTGTGATTTCCTACACACTCCTTGAGGTTTTCTGGTTGTCATGGTACCAGGCAGTTTCCTTTGTAAAGTTTCGCAGCATTAGGTTTGCATTTGGATGAACGCAAAGGAATTGACTCAAAAATAAGCTTTTTCTGTAAAACAGTATAACATTTAAAGCTGCTCGATAAAGACAAAATAATAATGATTATTGATTTATATCAGTTTGTTATATATATTTCAAGTCCAGTTAAGTCTATTCACAGAATAAAACTGTTGATGCAATATTTCTCATCAAGTGTGAATAAAGTCCAGTGACCACCACAAAATAAGAATTGACTGCAAAATGTTTCATTTAGGACTGAAAATGACTCATGTTATTATCATTTTGTGATGTAGCTTCACTATCTTTCAGTCTAGTTTTTCCTCCTCCAGACTGCGTTTCAGTTAACGGATTAGTTGACATATCTGAGCTTATCTGACTGATGAACTGTAAGATGTTTGGTCCTGTTCACATTAAGAATGACTTACTGTGTTGTGTGTGGAAATGTTTAGAGAAAGTACCGACAGTGAAGTCTTAATTATTGTCACAGTGTATTGACAGAGGTATTTGAACACCAATATCTGAGTCTATGAATTCTGATCAGTCCTAGTTGAGGTTTGATGCACCGTACAGTCATCCAAACAGTTTCAGTTCAATACATTTGAACTTTACCACCATGTTACAGATGCTCTACTCTTTAGCTATTTTAAAAGTACCTTGTTTCACAGCATAGACATTAAATATTGACACTTTTGATATTGGAGTACTTTTAGAGTATTGTATTTTTAAATGAATCAGCAAAGAATTACAGCTGAAGCCTAAAGGTCTCTATGAGGTCTTGCTATTTCCCTTCCACTTGTATCAGTATGAATGTTTAGAGCCAAAACAGAACATTTATCAGCACAAAATGTGGCAAGAAATGCTGAATGGTGCATACTGTATGCTTCAATATTTAAAATTGTATACAACAAAGACACCAGAGTTTCGAAGTGCTTTAGACAATAGAGACTAATTTAAAAGCCTGGTTTCCTCAGCTTGTCCTAGTGTGTTGATTAATGTATCGGTTATACATTGTTAAACTTTTAGCAGAATGTTATTTTTGTTTCAAAGATTGACAGTATAGCTATAAGTAGGTTTTGATTGTTAGCAACTGACCCCAGCCTCCAGAGCATTGAGTGCATTTGCAGATTGGCATTCAACCTCTGCCCTGTTGAGTTGATCCACAGCGACAGGCTGCTCCACTGAGACACATCGGCGCTCTGAAAACACCACCATGTCTTCAGAGACTCTTTCACAGGGACATGCTTTGTAAAGCCATGTGGGCTGCTGGAGGGAGCTGGATAACGTGAAGTAAAGGTTCAGGAAAACATTGTGTAGACACAAAATACATCGACAACAACAAAGAGGAAATGTGGCCAAATGTATTGATAAATGTATTATTATAAAACTAAACATCTGGCATAAAAAATTGACGTATATGTCGATTTTTAAAACCTCCCGATTCTAAAATATTCAGAAACAAATTGGCCATTTAAAAAAAAATCCTGATACTTTTTTTTATTTAATTGGTGTCACTTTTGGACATTTCAATAAGCCGGCCAGCAATTAGGCTTAATTCTAATGTACAGCACTGGCGAAATGTTGCAATTTTTGCAACACATGACTAGTGCTAATGCTAACATTAGTTTCATTGTAGAGTAATTAAATATCCATGTATTATGTTAATAAAGGATATCATGTTCTCTTGCTGGAGATGGGTGAGGAGTTTCTCCACAGGTGCGTAGCGTCGCAGCGTTGAGATCGAGCCCACCATCAGCAGCTTGTGTTTCGCCCTGGTGATGGCTACGTTCAGACGACGCCAGTCCTTCAACAACTCTCCTAACTATGAAAGGAGAGGCAGCAGATAGAGGTTATCATTCAGATACTTCTCTCCTGTTCATATGCTTGTTGACTGATGCACATTTTGTGGCACAGAGAAGAGGAAAAAGAGGAAAAAAAAGGGAACTAGAGGGAGAAACACTTACATTTCCATCCTCTGAAGTGCTCCTGACAAAAGAAAAAATTATCAGACTTTTGTCTCGTCCTTGGTATCTGTCGACTGTATTCACCTCCACACCAGCGAACGCAGGGGACAGCAGCAGAGCAGAGATACTCTTTAGCTGCTGTCTGTAGGGGGCGATCACACCAATATCACTGGGCTTACAACCCGCCTGGAGAAAAGTGAAATATCCAGGGGTTAGTAAGATAACTAGCCGTATCAAAACTTGAGCACCGCTTGGGAAACTGATGTACCTTTATGAGCAGTGACAGCAGCTTGTGAATGAGAGCCGCCTCGGTGTGGTTGCTGACGCCTCCCTGCCCCACAGACTCCAGTGCTGGCACCTACATTAAGCAGTGGAGAAAAACAAGATGTTGATTAGCACACCTTGATTCTTTTTTCACAATAACAGCCCTATTAAAAGAGCAATATTGTTTCATGTAAATCACTTTATTTTACAGTTAAAGCAGCTTGACCTTTACCAAGAAGCAGAAAAAGGCTTTATTATTGCGTTTTCAAAAGATAGCCAAATGTGTCTATGAAAACATCTTTAAGGCGTATCCAAACATTTTAGTACAAAACTATCTAGATGGAAGATGCTTGACTATCGTAACAGAAGTCATTTGTATGCTGCATGACATTCACAGAAGCTTTAGACAAATTAAAACTAACTAGCACCTTTATTAAAAGCTTAAATATTCCAGTGAAATATCAATAGCTTCTGCTTGACGTGCACTGTACAGTATATTCCACGCACCATGGAGCAATCCAGGAAGCAGACAGGGTGGCTGGGCAGTAACGTGTTTTGTATCCAAGCCAGGTCGAGCTCTGGATGAGTCTCAGCGTACGCACTGAGCTCTGATTGGACGGACAGCAGGAAGGGCAGAGTGAGCAGGGACGAGGCCGTCCTCTCCGATCCACACTCCAGACGGCCCTCATACATCAGGGAGTTACTGAGAGACATGATCTGCCTGGAAACACAGAGCACACACACATGATTATAGAGTGGGAAAGCTTTTGTTTATTTGTCACTTTTGCCATGTTGTCACATTAATATATTTCTCTTCAATGCTAAAGCAAGCATTACCAGTTTATCTTAAGATCAAATTATATTCACAACAAATAAACGGGAACATATTATTGAAGCAAGCATTGTTGTCTGTGATTGCATTTGTACCTATTCATCCGGTACTGTACATTGAGTTGGACCACTGCTTCATCATGGAGCTCAAGTCGCTTAAATAGACTTTCATCCATGCCAAGTGACCTGGAGGAAAAAAAAGAAAGAAATGTAAAACTGTTGTTTATATTAACTCCCAAACTCACATTCACATGTTGAAGCTTGACCTTAACTTAATGTGAAAACATTTCTCATGTTTTAACTTTATAAAAGACAAATAACTTAAATAAATGTTATTAACACAGAATTCTTGTATTGTTTTATCAACATACACCATCTGCAAACACACACACGCACACACTTTACCTGGCCTCCTGATTTTGCACTATTGGTGGCAGCTGTTGGTGATCTCCAACCAGGACGAATCTCTTGGCGTAGAGCAGCGGTCCCAGACAGATCGGCTGGCTGATCTGTGAAGCCTCGTCTATGATGCAGAAATCAAACCGCCGACGTGTGAATATGGGATGCTTGATGCCCATACAGGTGGTTGCCACTACCAGCTAGACAGAAAGACACAGACAGAGAGACAGGATTGTTATGAATGGTAAAAGAAAGAACTCACTTTATGGAAGAGTTTTCTTTTTGTATTATGATGTTTACATAAAGTCAGTTAAAGCTGTTGCAAAGAAGAAATTGTAAAAATATTCCATAAACGAACTCCTCACCTCCTTGTTATAAAGCTGCTCCAACTCTGACAGAGATTTAACTCCCTTCTTTCTCGCACTTTCCTCTGTGTAAGGCAGGATGTCTGGATGAACCTGGAGAGGGCAGCAGATACAAGAGAAAAAGTCAGAGGGTTCTAAATAAAGAGTTGTAGGCTGCGATTGAACACTGTTTTTTGCTTAGGAAGGTTTCTAACATTTAGCATAGAGTATACTTGACAAATCCTTAACAAAGAAAACGGGATAATGCGATCCCACAATTTCTTGTTGCATCTCCATGTCAGACTCACGTCATTAAAATCCACTTTCCGCAAATGTACGTAGACTTGTCGGGTCAGAATCTCTTAGCACCTTGATTGCCTTATTCTGAAGTCCTTATGAATTGTCCTTCACATCTTTCCTTGACACCATGACGATTAACGTCGAGGTCAAGTCTATTTTGACCTATTTTTCGTACTTTACTTAATATAATGAATAACAGCCACCTTCAGCCCTTGCCCAAGACGCAGAAATCCAACCCGAAAACGCTTTAACTTCAGCAGGATGTTGTCAACAGCAGAGTGGGTGTAGCTGGTCAGCAACACGCTGAACCCACACGCGTGAAGGATGCGAACCTGAAAGAGTACAGAGAGGTGGAGAAGAGAGAGTAAGAGCTCTGTTCTCACTGGGAAGGAGATCATTTCCATCTAAGTTTACAGATCGTGGTTAGGAGTTTACCAGGGTGCAGATGGTTGTGGTTTTGCCCGTGCCTGGCATGCCGACGATCAGCGTGTAGTCTTTAGATAACAACACCTTCTTCATGGCCTGCTTCTGGGGTT